TGGTAACACACAGCTACCTTAAAAGTCTGGCTACATACCAAAAGCTGCTACTTTGATGATCATCGCTTGAATGTTAGATGATATCATCTCTCGAAGTAAATCTTCCTGGTTTCTCTGCCAAAGGTAAGCTAAAGGCTGGAGATCAAGCCTTTTACACCTACAAAATAAAAAGAAAAAAATCAGATGATATTGTAATGTCCCACACTTGGATCCATAGCAATTACTTTGATTTTAAACATAATGCTTCTTTCAAGGATTTTAGCATTTAAAATGCTTTAAAATAGATGCTTTGCATAATGAAGTTTATATATACAACATAAACATATTTAACATACATGGGCTATGTATAAACTGATAAAAAATGAATTCTCAGGCACACTAGAAATATTAATTTTAGTAAGACACTAAGTTTAGAAATCTATGTAAAGAGCTCACACATGCCAATGAATGATTATTCTCATTTTTAAAACTTCTGTGAGTATCAAAATTATGAAGCATATGCAAAATAGGCAAATGATTTATCCTAACAAAATAATCATACATTGATTAAATTTATAATAACTATGGTTCTATGAACTATTCTTATCTAACTTTGAGATTTTTTTAAAGAATCTGTCTCTGAGTAAAAAAAATACTAAGAACAAAAAGTACAATTTATTGAGCACCTAATATTCTGCAGGCATTGTACCAGATACTTTACAGTATTGGTACAGTAGAAAGAATATAAGTTTTGGAGTCAAGACAAATCTGGGTTTGAAACCTCATTCTGCACTCTAGCTACATGGCTTTCACAAGTTAAGTAAAATCTAACTCCATGACTTTAGTTTCTTAGTTCATAAACAGGGGCAAAAATATTTCCTTTCAAAGTTCTTGAGAAGATTAAAAGATTATAAAATGAAGTCAACCTTTACTCTTCTTTTCTTCCAATCTACCACAATACAGAATTGTGATCATTCCTCACCAATACCACTGCTGACAACCTGATCTGAGCCACCATTATCTCTCATGTCAATTTCCTAATTTCTTTCCATGTTTCCACCCTTTCCCCTTTAAATCCATTTTCAATACAGTAGCCAGTGCGATTCTTTTAAAACATAAAATGGATCAAAGCATTCCTCTGCTCAAAGCCCTCCAGTGGCTTCCCATCACTTTAGGTGAAAATCCTTGCAAAAGACCCTGATTACTTTCATGCCTCATTTCCTACTACTCTTCCCCTCACACTCCATCCACCACCCCTCACTTGCTCACTCTTGCCTATTACACTAGCTGTGTTCCCTACTTTTCTTCATGCCTTTGCTTAAATGTCACTTTCTCAATTAAAGGTAATATAGATAAAGAATGTAAAAAAATACCTGAACAAAATACGTATTCAATAAATGGCAGGCAAGGTCAAGTGACTTGCACAGTCACACAGCAAGTGGCTGAGATAATGTATCAATTGAAAAATATAGGTCTAAAACCCATTATTCCCAGTGTCTCCTATCATCCCTATCATCTGTAAAGTTGCCTGGCTGACCTTTCAGGCCTACACTGATCTCTCTCTCTCAGAAAATCTCAATACTTATTAAACATTCTACATGTTTGGTCATTTACTCATATGTGGCCTTTAAAAAAAAATCACTGTTTTTTTCTTATACATATACTCTGTTTCAAAGAAACCAAAACCTTCCTCACCGCAGAGACTGCTTTATGTAATTTTCCTTTTTAAAATGTCTCAGAGCATCTAAGGCAGTGCTGAGGCATTTAATAAATACAAAAATAATAAAATTTAAATTTACCCTTGTAATGCAAACATTACAGTTCTTGCTGTCCTCTCACCAATGCTTACTAATCAAATTAGCCTCTCTCTTTTTTTTTTATTTCAGCATATTATGGGGGTACAGATGTTTAGGTTACATATGTTGCCCTTGCCTGCCCCCCAAGTCCAAGTTTCAAATATGTCCATCCTTCGGGTGGTGTGCATTGCACTCTCTTTTTTAGCCAAGATTGCTTTTTTATTGAAAAAAATTCATTCCTCCTGTCCTTATTACAAAATTCTTGGTTCTTGCTTTAAAATTCACAATCTTTTGACTATTTTTAGACTTAAGTCAAACTTCTTGACCTATTTAAATTTTTTAACAGTTTAAAATAACATGGCTCAAATAAACTTGCTCTGTAAATCACTGATGCATTTGACCTTGTGACATTTATTAAACAATGTATATCTTGAAAATATAATGATGGAACACAAACTACATATTGGGGATAGCCTAATGCAAAAGTGAGTTTGGAGACCAATGAACTCCCAGTAACACCATTTTAAAAATTTCAAGGATAAAATTATTGTAGATATGCTTTGTGGTATAAAATCTGGTAATATTAAACCAGATGTTGAAGTATACCTAAGACGGCATTTTGAGAAAGTCTTGCTTCTACCCAATGTATGTCGTGGGCCCTTCTTCCATGTATATATAATGAGGCAGCCTCCTAATCAGGAGCACATTTGCATTTGGTTTTTTAACTTTCATAAATAGATCAGCCCTATCCTCAGTATGACTATCCATTAAACCATGTGGGTTTGAACTTATTAAAAAACACAAATTTGGAAACTAAATAATTCTCAGAGAATATGACCTAAAACTTAATAAGAATAATATTATCACTAACATATGGCTTAAGGGATATGCAATCCATCTTCATCTGTAGATCAAAAGTAAACAAGTAGAATGTAAGGAAAACTTCCTCAAAATACGCATGCTTGACCTCCTCCTCTACTTCCACCACCATCATCCATTGTTTAAAGATTCTCACCTCTAAAATGTGAGATCATTATATTTCTTTTCACTTCCCTATGCTTTGCCCTGCTTTCCCTTTATTCACTTTTAAAATTATGTATTTTTTTAACTGCCTTAAATTCACCATGGAATTAGAGAGAAAATAAATAAAATAAAAATATAACTTAAGTTTTCAAATCTATTAATATGCAGGTTCTTAATGAGATAGTCAAAATAAGTGTTTCTTTATGAAGAATATAAAATTATTACATAAATTCAGTCGTTATCTTACTTTCATTAATCCTTTTGACTGGCAAAATCACTTATTTACAGATTAAGTTGTACTCAAGAAAAATAATGGAGTCCATATTTTCTTTTTTACTAATATAATTATGCTAAAATCTATATGATATAGAGTTTTTATCCAAATAAAAATGAAAAATAAATTCATTCAGGTGGTCAACATTAAATAATCAATATTATCACTTAATTAATCTTATGATTTTTTTAATAGATCAATAAAATTGACTATTTAGGTATTTGTAGCTAAATGTTTTACTAGTGTTACATTCCTTACGGGAGTGAGGGAGTTACGGATGGCAGGAAGCAACAATCTAAATATTCCTTGAAAGTTGAATGGCTTTATATATAAGTATTTCAATCACACATGAATATTTCTGGCCAAGAACTGAATTCTATGAACCAAAGAGAAAGAGATTCCTTAAGCATTTTTTCCTTTAAAATATTATGGCATTCCTTCTATTAGCTCCTGATTTTTATTATGAAAGATGATGAGTTAAAAGAGATTAAAAGTGTGTACTAAATCAAATTGAAGATAATACTTCTCACTAAAAATCTTTGTCTGAACTCTTTATTATAAATTATTTTTCCTTATAGCAAGTTAAGAGTTTTCTCATGTGTGATAAGGGCAGAAAAAAGTAAAAGTGTAACTTTTATTATTTAGGTAAATACATACATTTAGTTCCATAAGGCATGTAGAGTATCATAACTACTTATGATTTGAAATTATTTATTTTTTACTAATACAGATTCTTAAAATATATATACTTCAAAAATTAACAAATTATTGAATGTTCTCTTACACATTTTCTACTCGAACATGCTGATAGTCAGAAAGTATAGCACCTACTGATATCCCTTCTACTTCTTCTTTTTCCTGAAAATAAACAAAAAATATAATTTTAAAAATTAATAAACATGACTCTGCATCATGCTCTGAAAATTATAAACGAACTGTGTCTCATCTAGAAAACCATCTTGAAGCAGCATAATATAATCCACATTCAAGAAAAAAAATACATATTTAAATCATCTTCTCAGGAAAAATAATTATTCTTTTACTTAAAATTTAAATAACTATAGACTCCTTTTCATGGGGAAAGCAAAGACTTAGGCAGCACTTCCAAAATGTTTCACATTTAACATATTTTTAAAGACTCACTGATGTTCAATGAAAACTTTTGAGAAATTTCTATTTAAGGACAATATTTTCCCAGATTGAGTAACTTTTTTTAAATTAAGCAATGGCATAAATAGATAAGGGAACATAATAATAATCTTAGAAAGAGAAGATTGACGTAGAAGCATTCAGAAAGCAGAGATGGTAGAGGCATTGCCTGAATAACAGTATAACACAGTAGATAAAGAATTCTGTGATGGGAAGGAAGCAATGAATTATATCAACATAGTTATGACTGAGAACACCCAGCAGTATATACAGCACAGTTCCACAGGAACAAGGGCTAGCCTGTCCGGAATACTCATTAATGAGCTGGAGGAGAATGTAAATTCAACTATGATCAAATTTGCAGATGATACAAAGCTAGGATGGATTAAAAAGAAAAGAAAAGAAGATCAATCAAGTACATGGATGAATATGAACAACTTGGGGATTTGAAAGGACAGGTCCAAGATGAGATTTAATGCAAAGAAGTATAAGATAATACACTTAGGGAAGAATAATACACAATATGGATATAAACTAGGGAACTGTTATCTAGAAAATAGATACGAAGAAAGTGACTAGGGGATAATTACTAATAACAAAGTGAATAGAAATTCTCTGAATAGGCACAAAAGAAAATCCATCCCAGCATATGGATGTAGTGAAGAAACCATTTCAGAGAGATGATTTCATTAGTAATACTCTGGTCTTACCAAACTTGGAAACCTATAAAGAAAAACAATAATGTTTCACATAAAAAAAAAAAGTAATATTTCAAGACATACTGAAATAACCCTGTGTGCCCTAAAAGAATGCCATAATAAATAAACAAAAATGCACAACAGGAATTTTTCATGTCTTTGGAGATGAAGTCAATTTAAAATTTCTCCTCTGAAATGACAGAGAAATATCTGCCCAAACCACCCCAAAATAAAATAATTATTTCTATCAGATAAGGTTTCAGGAAAAGAGCTATTTCCTTTACTTTCCTATTTCAGCAACTTTGTGAGAACATTTGCTTATAACCTTTCTCTAACCTTCCTAGTCATTTTCTTTTCATAAAAGTCATTGTATTCATTAGAAAAAGTCATGGCATAGTGTTCCTCATTAAATGCAAATATATTAATAGCATAGATCATAGAGTAGTGAATAATGTTATCAAAAGATCAAATTTTTAGTTACACTCCTACACCATACAGTTGTTTATATAAAGTTCTGCTATAAGAAAATATGAAGTACTGAATGTTATTAATATATATGTATGGGTGCGTGTGCTTACATGAGTGTGTTTCCTTATAGATCATGGAAACAAAGATCAGAGCCACTGGTGTTTTTCTCCTTAAACTAAGTCAAACCATTGTTAAAATAATAATTGGCCCTTATTATCCATTTACCATGCACTAATGTGTTATGTTATGATTCTCATTTAATGCTGACCACAACCTTGAAACAATTAATTTCTTCTTATTATACATGTATTCTTTGGAATTCTCTTCTACTCTCATCTATTTTATTTTCTATTTGATAACACCTAACTAATCAGCTCTAGAATCACATACCCAGCTAAATTCTGACTGTTCCACATTAAGTCTGTATGTAGATCATTAGTGGTATTTGTTCAATAATCATAATTACTACTACCCACTAGAAATCCAGCCCTATTACCTACTACCTCTGTGATTTTGAATGTTACTGAATTTCTCTGTGTCTCAGTTCCCTGATCTGTAAAGAGAGGATAATAATAATACTTCTTGTTTCCTAGGGTTTTTATAGTCAGATGAAGATTGAGTAAAATAATCCAGGTAAATAACACAGTATCCAGCACCTAGTAGGCATTCAGTAAATATTTTCTTCTTTTTTTATTATAATCTTCTTTATTACTCTTCTATAATTACTTGTCTTTCTAGTTCTACTACTACTGACTACTACTATAGTTGTTCCTTAGTATCTGTGGAAGACTAGTTCCATCACACGCCCCATCCCCAACCAAAATCTGAGGATGCTCAAGTCCTTTATATAAAATGGCACAGTATTTGTAAATAACCTATATACATCCTACCATATACTTTAAATCATCTCTAGATTACTTATAATACCTAATACAATGTAAATGCTACATAAGTAGCTGTTATACTGTATTATTGGTTTTCTTATTTGCATTTTTAATTGTATTGTTATTATTATTCTTTTTCCCAAATATTTTCAATTCGTGTTGGTTGAATCCGCAGATGTGGAACCCATGCATATTGAGGGCTACTACTATTAGATGAAAGCCTAACTCATTCATTTGACAGATAAAGCCCTTCATTCCTGGGGTTTACCACTTTTCTTTCTCATCGTTGCTTCTTGATACTAGCCAGCCTACTAACCCTTGACACTCCATATAGTTGCAACAAACTTTTCCAGGACAGTGTGTCCTTAACAATACAGGTAATAAGTAAGACTTCTGTTATTCCTTAATTGTTCTGAACATAGCTACAAACTTTGAATAAAGGCAAAACAGACCTTTTAAAGATAAAGATCTATCCTATAGTCAACCTACTCTGTAGAAAAAAATATAGCTAGGTTCAGGCCCTGACCTTTGACCTGTATCAACTCGGTTGCGGGGGAAGTCAGTAAATTAACAATAGTGGAAAAATGACAGCACTGGAAGTATCAGCAGAGAAAAAAACAGAATGGCTACTAGAATAAACTATCATACTGTGGCAGCATAAAGACTTAGCCAAATAAATTGATTTATGCCATAATTGAAATAAAAACGAATATGCTACAGAAAATCATTAATATAGACTCTGGGACCTAGAAATTTGGCCAGATTCGAACCAACTTCCCATGATCCAATTCTATGTCTACTAAGCAAGCTTCAGACTATAATTTAGGTTGCCTTATTACTTTCCATCCCAAAACGTTTATACTAGGCCATCAATATGTGCTTTCTCACCTGTTTAATACAAGTACTCTACATTGTAAATTAACAAATTTGCACTCCGGCTTATACATTTAGTCTTAAATCAGTTTGGTTTGTTAGTCTATAATAGAAATACTGATAACTTATAGGGATGCTGTCAAAATCAAGTCTCTAGCTTGAAGAGCTAAACAATAGTGCTCACCAAAGTAGTATTATCAAACTTAATCAGCCATATAACTTCCCAATGACAATGCTAATTGCTATGTCATCATTCTTTGTTTCTCTGAATATTAAAACATACAACCAAAAATGCTTTCTATGTCCATACTGTGTACCAGTTTCATAAAGAAGATTACACTTTTATTGTTGAGAAGTTCAGGCACCAAAATTCAGTATTAAAGAAAGTGATATGAGGTATCTTAACTGGGATCCAGTTAAGATGACTATCAAAAAATAACAAATGCTGGCTGGGGTGCAGAGAAAAGGGAATTGTTATACACTGTTGGCGATAATGTAAACTGGTATTAGCCACTCTAGAGAATAGTATGGAGGTTCCTCAAAAAACTACAAATAGAACTACCATATGATCCAGCAATCCCATTACTGGGCATTTATACAAAAGAAAGGAAATCGGTATGTCGAAAAGTCATTTGTAGGCTCATGTTTATTGCAGCACTATTCACAATAGCCAAGATATATAATCAACCTAGGTGTTCAACAATAGATGAATGGATAAAGAAAATGTAGCATATAGAATACTATTCAGCCATAAAAAAGGAATCAAGTTCTGTCATTTGTGGCAACATGGATGGAATTGGAGGACATTATGTTAATTGAAATAAGCCAAAACAGAAAGTTAAACACTGTATGTTCTCCCTCATATGTAGAAACTAAAAAATGTTTATCTCATAGAAGTAAAAAAGTAGAATAAAGGATATTAGAGGCAGAGAAGGGTAGGGGTAAGGGAGGATAGAGAGAGATTTGTTAAAGGATACAAAATTACAGCTATTGAAGGAATAACTTCTAGTGTCACACACCACCACAGGATGATTATAGTTAATAATAATATATAGTTTCAAATAGCCAGAAGGAGAATATTGAATGTCCCCAATACAAAGAAATGATAAATATTTGAGATGATGGATATACTAATTACTATAATCTGATCACTATATATTTATGAACACATCACTTTGTACCCCATAAATATGTACAATCATTATATGTCAATTTTGTAAAAAGAATTAAAAAAAAGAAAGTCACATAAAAACAAAAGCTAGGCAAAGTTCCACAGAGGATATGACTCCTGGGCCAATCTTCAAGGACATACTTGATTTTGTTAAGAAAGAAAAAAAGGTTGTGGGGTACAATTCAGAGTGAAGAATATGGGTCAAGACAAGAAAATAAAATGCTTGGCATATTAGGGGATGGTCAGCAGTGTGGAGTAGCTGGAGTCAAAAGCACACATCAAGAAATGGAAGGAAAAGTAAGTTGGGATCAGATTGTTCAGAAACATAGCCTGTGTCCTGAAGGCAATCAAGAGCCCATCCCTATAAGACATTTTTAAAAACCAACTCTATAGAGGTACAATTTATGTACGATAAACTGCACCTATTTAAAGTGCACAATTCAATGAGTTTTGAATTGACACCAGTGAAATTGGTACCACAATCAAGATACAAACCAGTTTGATTACTCCCAAAAGGTTCCTTGTGTCCCTCTGCAGCCGAATCCTCCCTTCACTCCTGGCTTCAGGTAACTATTAATACTAATCTGCTGTATGCCATTATATATTATTATGCAT